CCCCAAAACCCCAAAACCCCAAAACCCCAAAACCCCAAAAAATTATTTAGATGTTGAAAAGTGAAGAAAGATTAATTTTTACCTTGTTTTGCGAATTATCAGGAGCTGATCCTGGCTCCTTTGTCGACAGATTCTCCCGATAATCTGCCAACCCACTATTTGGCTGGCTGAGATGAATGGGCTCTATCTGAATTAAATCAGCTAGAAAGATCTTTTTCAGCTGAATTTCTAAAAATTATAACTGTTAAATATTACTTGGAGTAGATTCCTCGGTATCGCTATCATCAGAGAGGAACTCAAGGTTTACTTCATCTGCTAAGTTAACTTCCTCTTGCTCTATATGAAGCGACCTGATTTCCTTTACAGTATCTTGAGTATTAGACTTAAGAAATTTCAAGAGGCTCTGTCTGACTTGTTGCGATACCTCCTCTCCATGAAGCTCATTCTCATATTCTACAAAATATAAGACTAGTAGGGTACTTTCTGGAAGACTTTCCTTCTCATTTTGGGTCAATTTAGCATCAAAATTTTGATAATGTCAGTTCTGAATGTTCCTTTCTTGGAAAGGAATTGTGTTTAACGGCTGCAACACTGATGAACTATGGCTCGTAGGCTGTGAATAAGTAAATTAAGACATTTCCTTGGTGAAAGCAATAAGACATCTTTACTCTCGACTTAACATTTACTAAAGTTTTAAGCAGCCAAATTTTGAATTAACGGAAACTTCAGGTTGCTCTTTTAATAAGTTGGTACTTAGAGAATCGAAAATTTTGAACATTTTTAGATGTTATTAAGTAACTTTGAAGGAAAAATTACTTTAACAGATTTGAGATCTAAGCATTGTCCAATATTTTCTTTTCAGCCTAAAGTTGATTCATGAGTCATGCAAAATACAATACCATTGTCCTGAAAGCTCCTTGAATGAGTTGGCCGGTCATTGAAATTTAGTCCTAAAGTACTGTTAGGCTCTCCAAACTCTTGGATAGCTTACTATTTATGAGCTGATTTTCTCTCTCATTGCTTATCGGCTTCATTTTTACTTTTAACTGAATTTTACTGAACAATTATTTTAGAAAAATATGGGGTTTTGGGGTTTTGGGGTTTTGGGGTTTTGGGGTTTTGGGG